TTCACAAATTCTCAGAAAAATCCAAAAGAAAATCCAGTAAAGTTCATAAAATATGATGAATTCATGCCACGAGATTTTTAGCGAACTGTTCTGGTCGCCGCGGTTTTTGGGCAGTTAACCGAAACTGTGTCACCAACTACAGAACATTTCTGGCTATTTTCTTCTATGGAGCATATCAACGAGTTAAGTAAAGCATTTCTTGACTCTCATCTGACCAACTAAGCACAACATCTGGTGCAGCTGCATGCTTTCTCGCAGATTCTTTGTTAACATTTTTTTTGTTCCGTCTTATCGGAGCACTGCATCTCAAAACTTGAATGTCATAGAATTTTCGATAGCAATACGTCTCTTTGTAATATTATTTTGAATTTTATTTGGAATTTTACGTCATTGCAAATGAGGATTTTTCAGAGCAAGAGCTCGCATTGTTGCGAAGTGATATTGGAACATTCTTTCCCCAAACTGAGTAGGGGAGTAATCTTGAGGTAATAAGATTTATGACTTTATGAAGTTATTCCGTTGCATTTACAACAATTTTAGAACAACCCATCTTCATAACTGAGTGAACAGACAAGTTCTTTGGCTCCAGATGTCGTCAAACCTTTCTTCTTCAAAAAACCCTGACCAGGGACCGATCAACTGCAGAAGGACTTCCCTTCTCTCTCAAGTAACGAAAGCCATGGCTTCCATTCATTTGTACCCGGACAGACCAAGAATCTATCGTTGTTCCATCAAAGGCAAGGATGTGGAGATTAGCCCGGACCAGTGCAAAGCGCTTGAGTTAGGACTTGGTTATTACCCCATTGCAGCCATCTATGGCCCATCTGGTACAGGGAAAACCTTAGTCGGGGCCCTTATAGCAGCAGGTTCCGCAGAAAGAGGGGATACTGTGGTGGTAACGGCTGACAACAACTATGCTGTGGCTCAGATAACCGAAACTATTCTCTCCATTGATGGTATTCAAAATTTGGGAATCGTGCGATATGTTTCTGATACAGCTGCCACGGAAAATAACGCTTCGACTCAAGTGGACCTCGATTCTGTCTTGGAAAATCTCGGCGATATCTATTTTGATCAGCTTTCTGCATGGGAACTCGAGATGTGTCGCAAATTCAAGCAGGAGAGGATGATCCTCAAGGAATATCTGCAAGATCCTGATCGTGGGCTGTTTATGGCTGAACAAGAAAAGGAAGATTACATGATTTCGGAAGAGTATGTCTCAACTCATATGCGAAAAATCCTTCACCT